GCAAGCTCGGTTTAACAGCTTGCACGCAAACGTCTAGAAAATGATGCCGTTCAATCTTTCAAACTAGTGCTTCTTGCGTTTGAAAGCTGCGTGGCGCTATGTTTTTGCAAAGATACGAAGCCTTTTAGAAGGATGGCGACTAGGTTGGGTCGCCCAATTCATAAATTTGCCCACTGTCCCAGTAAGACTCCCTCGGCCCGGGGACATGCTCATGATTATGTTTGCAGTGGTTGCACGAAATAAACACTATAGAAGCGCGTTAGCGAAGTGACTGCGTGTCGTCGTCGGAATGCGCCGAGTCACTGCTTCGGGTGCCGCTTATCTCCCCGGCGAGGCGACACCCGGATGTATCACGTGACGTGCAGCGGTACCGCCTGCTGACGTGCCGACTCCGCGGTCAAAATTCCCCACCGGTACAAAAGTTCACGACCCGTCAGCACGCTGAGCACGCTTTCCTCCTGACAATCGAGCTAACGTATGAGCGGCAGCACCTAGTATTATGTGCTTGTACAAAGTTCCGCGCTGCACATTCAGTTCGTTTCCATGCTAGCATTTCAAGCTTCGTGCTTCGGTTATCGCCAGACGGGTCAGGCACACCTGGGCGATGCACGCATCCATCAGCTACTCTACGCGCGTGAGATGGATGATGTGCCTTCGGTTCCTGTTGCTCGGTTGACGCGACCCTGGCTGCAGACACGTGTCCGTTGTGGCAGACGGCGCCTGCACGTTCGCTATCGCAACGCCCGCCGGCCGGCGCCGGAACCGGCGGCCGCGATATCCTGGCGGCCCGCGCGGCCGGCCGGACGCGCCGCCCGTCACGCCATGTCGGCCGGCGCTGCCGACTCAAGTGCCGGGGCGGCAGACGTTTCGGCACGAAACCGCAGGAGCTGGAAAGCATAGAATGCTTTCTGCTGGTGACACGCAAATAGCAGTTCACACAACCAACCACTGCCACGTGACCATGGTGCGACCAATTCACCCGTTTTGGATGCCTGTAAATGGCTCCTAAAATTATGATCAGCAAGACGAGTTGCTCATCACGAATCCAAAAGGATAACGTTTTTTTTTTGCTTGCGGATGTCGGGATCCTGAGGTGGTAGAAGCGTGAATTTCGTAATCGGGATATCTATCATCCCCGGGATTCTGAGATTAAATCGTGTAGCAGTCTCACATGATACTGATACTTATGCACTGAGAGCATTTTCGGAAGACCGGCCTTGCCATGTTTAATCAAGTCCATGCCAGCATTGGTAAGAACATAATAATATGTCGAAGTATAGGCAACAAAATAGTGCGCTAAAGCAAAGCGCAATTTTACATGCACACACTTGGTTCTGGACACCTTTGCTCGAGTCTGAGGGTCAGATCTTCAGCGGTACAGTTAGACAGAGCTCTCCGGCTAAAGGGGCGGCGCGCAGGCTTCGTTCTCACCTGCGGCAGCCGTGAAAGTGGTGCTGTGGAAGGCCGAGACGTGCGGTTTGTTACCTGATTACGAAAAGCGAGCGGGTCTGTTAAAACAGGAGGTCCGCTTCCTCGAGTGGTGGGCTAATACCGCGTTAGCATCTGCAAGTATTTTTCTCTCTAGATGACCTGGCGAGTTCACGTTGTCTTATCTTGACGTTGTCTTATCGTTTCAATTCCAATATATTCCTCCCTGTGAAGTTCAGGACTTTTGTAGCCATTCGGTGTAGCGCATGCTTCACCCCAGACCTATGCACAAAATCGTACAAATGGGGATACCGGATGGGCGCAAAATGACCCTAGAAGTCGACGCGCCCTAAAACCCCAATCATTATCAAATGGGGATACCGGCGCCCTATGAGAGGCGCCGCAGTTCACGGGCCAGTTCACTCCTTAGCTTGCACTTTGTACCCTTGGTTCACATTATAGCTGGTCCACCTTGTCAGCAACGCGCTCGATCTAGAGCGCTTTTCACAGCGTTAAATCGTGACTTTTCGTGACTGTGAATTTCGTATAGGCCTAAATTTTAGGCGCCTGCATGGCTAGGGACAGCTGCAGGCGCGATTTGTACAAGACATCTTAGTGCAAATCGCGATCTTATGGGAGGCGCATATCGTCAGATTACTTCATGTTACTGGGAATCGACGGTTGGGTGAAGTAGGATTCCAAATAGCAAAAAATATCCATATGTGATCAATTACCACGTGTACTGAATAGAGGTGCTGCATTTCTACTACCGGTGCTGTTAGCGTAACGCCGGCAGTGACACTGGTTTGGTGCTATGTTTTCTCCTTTTCGCGCCTTTCTCTTTCCTCTCCCCTACCCACCCGATGGCGCTGAACACCGACGATTCGTGCCCCTAACTCCTCTTACTGGCTGTTGTTTATATACTAGCGCTGCAGTCCCCGATAGCAAACAAGACATATGCATTGGACTTAAGACCGGGGGAGATCGGGGAGGGGAGATCGGGGGAGGGGGGAGGGGGAGGGGGAGGGGAGGGGGAGAACTATCTCTCCAGGCTCTAGCCACTGGAGAACAGAATGAACGCCTTATTGCAGTTCGTTGACCAATTGGCTTTTGTAACCTACGGCTACATATTTTGCATTGGTTATGATAGATTGTCAATGATGATGCCCGATGACGCAACGATGGTGTTCCAAGGAAACATCTTGGCATGGAAGAAACATAGACAGTCAGAAAGGAAAGGGTTCGCCCCGATGTGTGATATTCAGTTCGAGAAAGTCTTTTTCAGAATGAACACGAACTCGTTTTAAATTGATTTCTTGATTGAGTGCTGTCACTAGGCGGAGATTGTTGTGTGAGTCCTGCCCCACCATCCGATCATGAAATGTCAGGTGAACTGCAGACCTTTCCAGCGCGAGTTTGACGCGCCATAACACTCGGCACGGTCAGACCGGCCCTCTGACGTCACATGACCTTTAGTGCGGTCGCCGCCACCGGCCGCAGGCCAGACCAGTCTCTCTGATAAGGTCAGACTTTGGGCGCCATGAGCACGGACGTCGTAAGTCAGCCGGTCATTGCACTGGGCGCTGCTGCAAATGGGTATGTGTATGATAAATCAGGGCCACGAACCGAAATGGTCTTGACGGGAAGAATGTCCCGGTGTGGCGATACCTGGCGATGACGCGGCTGGAGACACAAAATGTGTGGAGCGCTAGAATATTATACGCGCCCTGAAGATCCCGACCTTTCAAAACCGTTCAGTGGTCGTCGATCGAGAGTGCCATCAGGCCTGAAGGTCAGGCTGTGTAGAGTCGGGGGAAGGCGACCATTATGACATGTGCCGAAACCAGTCAGGCGTAAGACTAAGGGCATCAAACCAGACACTGGCCTTGACATTACTGCGGGCGATGGCCACGGTAAGCTTCTCCGGCTCCGAAAGACAAAGAGCATTCAATGCCGAATCAGCATCGGGTGATGTGTCTAGAGCTTCTTTGTAAAGCTTCCACGGTAAAAGGGGATAACCAGCAGCCTGGAGGGCTGGAGTTCGTGCACGTGGGCAGTTTTACCCCTGTAGGCTAAAGGGGGTCGCCAAACGACTTAGCCTTAAGCCCAGCGATTTCCGACATGCCGGCAATGAAATGAATGCATTAAAGCGTGTTCATGTGACCCATAACCTAAAACTGCCGCGTCATTATGTTACATTAAAATTGTCGCGTTACACGTTGTATGGGTATTCACGAAGACCCCAGTCACAATTTCCAGGCGGTCTGTTCAGTGAATGCCCAGCATTTCCAAACATGGTAAGGACAGATCGTCACCAGAAGCAAGGTATGCCACGTGTATTCGAATTCACGGATCTTCCTCACAAGTGCACGAGCCACAAATTGCGCAAAGCTCACCATTAGCATCAACAGCTCATTGATAAAACACGTGCTCCTCCATGTTTATATGGGGTTTTGAATCGTGGTAGCGAGACGTAGCACGTAGGGAGGTATTCACAACCATTCCTGTTTAGGCCTAAAACGGTCTAAAACCAACCGCGAAAATGAAGGAAATCAGGTACAAACTTTTCTGTAAAAGTATCAGCACATGGGCACATTTAAAAACACACATGCGTACATTGACAACTGACTTTGCTTGGACTACACGTTATCTTCAGAACGACCTCGAATTCTAAACTGCATCACTTGAACAAAGTCTAACTACAGACATGACACCAACAAACCACGACGATCCCCCAGGGCGCCAGACCACTCTCCAATATCTGACACGCATGCGCAGCACATTATAAACGAGAAGCTCATCCCACACACGGCTCGATTCACAAGTACCTGGATATTCATTGTCTCGACCTTCATCTTCTAAAAACATCCCGCCGGTGTGCAGGAGCAATGCCAGAAACGATGAGTATATGGATTCATCTGTTGACGACCCCACTGATGACAACGTCCAACTAACAAGGGAGCATTCATTGGAATAAAATCGGGTTACCCTGCGTGTGCAGCTGGGAGTCCGTTCGAAGTGCTGCAATCAGTCTGGAATTGATTTTGTTTGGATATTTCAGTTGACTTCAGCAATGACCACACACAGCGGTGAGAAGGACTGATCGTCTGCTGGCTGCTCTGTGGAATTGCTGTGGCGCTCGTGGACTGGGACATAACTGTGATGACGCTATATGCTGGGTGCCTAAATGGGCTGAATAATTTGATTGCAGCACTGGAGCCTTACCTGCACTCCGTGAAGAGCTGGCCAAGAGCCGGGCCGTATTCTGATAAACCACACCTTTTTCTTTTGTGATCATTCTCGAATGTGAAACATCCCCGTTTGTGATGCCCAGAGTGTCAAGGCCCAGAGGACATTGCCAACCTTTCGTTCTTCACGCTCCTTGCTACTGCTACATGACATAGTTTGATAGTTTGATTCGCTCCATTTTTGTGCTTTGTTTGGGGTTTTCTCCTTTCATGTTGGTTAGCGTCTTACATTTTCATTGATGCATCCATCGCATAAAAAGCGTCCAATCTAGAGGTCTGAAACCACATGCCAAAAATCGTGTGCACATTACGCAAATTTCCGTGCTAGCTTGAGCTTGATATTAAACAAGTCGATATAAAAACAGACCTAACGTTTGAGATGAGATATCAGACACAGACATTTCGTGCAAATACATTCTGGCGCAAATGCAAGTGCAGACCAGGCGTATAGAAACAACAAATTCACAATTAATCAGATCTTCATACACCACATCATTACGTTCGATCATGCCCACAAGGTAGCAAAACACGGAACACTACACTTAACTTTGGTCGTATGCTTTATGTCAAGACGAATTGCCTTGAGTGGTTCGCCTCACCCTCAGATTATGTGTCGATGACGCCATGATGGTGCCTGCCGGCAGTTTGCTGGCCACATATTACCCGATGGGCGTCACTGGCCGCGCCACATGCCTCGATACCGTGCGGCCTCAGCCTGACTAGTGATGTGATGAAGTGATTGTGACTGGCTGTCGGCGACCGTGAGCGCGGTTGCCTCAGGCGTCTCGTCCGCCAGGGGAGCGGCCTGGCGACGGTGACACGCGCCCACCGGACGCTCTGTGGGAGACCCGTGCTCGGGTGCAGAGCCGGCCGTCCCCCTGCTCAGACGGCCAGGCTGGCGGCGCAGACGGCCGCCAGCAGCAGCGGCAGCAGGCCGGCGGTGGCGGTGTCGGCGCCGCCGCCGGGGCCTCTCTCGTCGGTGCGCTCCCCAAGGCAGGCGTAGTCGGACGTGTAGGCGGCCAGACGGAACTGGCTGAGCGGCCGGCCGTCGCCCAGGCACGTGCCGCGCTCGTACAGCAGCCTGTACGCAGCGTCGCCGGTGACCACGTCGTCGTCGTCCTCGCGCGACGCGTTGGTGGACGCCAGGAAGGCGCGGTCGCCCACCTCCACCAGCTCAGCCAGCGCCTCGCAGCGGCAGCCGAATTGGTTACCGTATATGCGGTACAGCGGCACCGTCTCCTCGTTGTCCTGGCTCAGGATACGCCCGAAAGTGCCGTTGGCGGGCGCGTGCAGCCGGTTACCACCGAATGTGAAGGCGTACTTGGCGGGCGGCTGCGCGGTCTGGGGCCCGCGTGGGTCCAGCGCGTCGCGCCGCTCGAACGCGGCGAACACGCGGTTGCCCAGCCAGCCGATGGTGTTGTCCACCACCTCCGCCGTGGTGAAGCTGCCCGTCATCTCCGCGGTCAGGTTGCCGATGGTGTTGTCGCGCAGCCGGAACTCGTCGATGATCATGCCGACCTCGTCCGAGTCAAAGGACGTGATGTTGTTGTTGACAATCGTCAGCCGGCTGGGCTCGGGCGAAAAGTTGGGCCGAAGGTTGAGACGCAGCGTCTCCAGCCGGCCCACGCTGCTGTTGCGCACGACCACGTCCAGCACCTCGTCCACCTCGATGCTGAGCGCACCGAGCGTGCTGTTGACGACGCTGACGTTGACCGCCTGGGCCAGGCGCAGTTCGGCCTCCTCCTCGACGTGGCTGTTGGCCAGGCGTAGGTCGATGAGGTCGGAGCCGGGCCCGAAGGCGGCGCGCGCCAGCCGCTCGGCGACAACAGTGTCCAGCTCAAGCACTTCGCCGGTCAGGTGCATCGCGTCCGGCTCAGCCGTCAGGTTGGCGACGCGGCGCAGCGAGATGCGTCGGTGCGGCACCCGGTCAGTGTGCAGGCAGCGCTCCCGCAGCACCAGCTGGTCCACGTCGGTCAGCCGCAGCTCCGTCAGCGATATGGCGTTGGAGAGCGCCCGCGCCACGAACGTCACCTGGCTGCAGTTGCGTACCTCCAGTACCCTCGTGCGGTCCGACACGAAGGCTGTGGCGTCACCCAGCATCAGCGGCTGCAGCAGAGACATGTGGTCAGGGGGAGGGGTGGTGAGTCAGCAGCAGCGCACAACGGGCGACGCGCCCATATCAGACGCGTCCAGTGAATCGTCTTTGCTGTGATGTAGTTGCGGTTGTTAGGGTGTGGCGGGCTGGGGCCGGGGCCGGGGCCGGGGCCGGAGGCGGCCCACTTTGCGCGATGCTGGTATCGGCTGCAGCCGCGGCGACTGACTGCACTTCGGCCAGTGCCGCGCAAAAGTGATGCCGGCCTCCTTACTTATCATAACACGATGACGCTACGTAGTTCACTGTGGCAACAGCACTGCTGAAATCACCGTTTTAACGATTCAACTCGCTGCTCGTATGTCAACATATCAGATGTTTGGCGGAAGGCCAAGTTGTCTCCCGTCATTTCAGTTTACCCCGCCCGCGCAATAAAGACTGTGGCCTCCTCAGATACTGAATTGACACTGACAATTGACACTGACGCTGATACCGGGAAACTGAGTGCCATGGCGACACTGGATTGTAAATTTAATAGGAGCTGGACTGCCCGAGATATGCGCGCTCACGCGACCGACACGGTGATATCTGTCGACAAGGTTGTCCCATTCGCAGTCCAGTTTTCCCGTACACTAAACATCCACATTGATTAACTCGTTTTACAGTAAGCCAGGACATCCTTTATACCGAGACCCATGATAAGACCATGCTGAGGTGTTTACCCTCCGGCGAGCAAGTCCTTGACATTGGAACCTATCGCCTTCGCCGTATCGGACACGCCTGGCCATGTGGCGGACGTTGAGCCTTACCTGCTGCTCTTCGACGCTGCTGCAGTCGCACGTGACCTCTTCGAGGCCGCCGCGGTCCTGACAGGAGCAGTCCGAACGCTGGCAGAGCCACTGGATGGCAGGCGAGGTGGCACCGTCGCGGGGCGCTCGCTGCGGCAGCGCGCCCGTCAGCGCCGCCGCGGCGCACAGCGCCAGCAGCAGCTGCACAGCTCGTGTCGTCTTCATCTGCGGCTCTCTTTGGCTCGGATGTCACCGGCTGCAAGCAGCACTACAGGCGGCACGTCCGGGTGCGCGACTGATACAGGCGTGGCGGCCGGCACGCTGCTATATGCCGCGCGACGCCACGCTTCCGCGAACGTCCGCCGCTGATTCAGTCGGCCGGAAGGAACAGCGGATGACGTCACCCCGCCGCGCTGGTGACGTCACTCCGTCCGTGACGTCATCGGCCGGCGAGCAAAGCGCGCGGATAACGGCCGGCAGACCCAAAGCGGATTGGGACGGCACGCCACGCGAGGGGCCAGGCCGGTAGGCTCAACGTAGCGGTCGGTCGAAGTTCAGTCGGTGACCGCGGGCTCGACGGCACCGGAGGAACCGGCAAGGTTCTGCAGATCGGTGTGCTCCGCGCGTCCGTGTCCGCGCGACCTTGGAGGTTGGCGCTCGTCGCAATTTCGTAACCGCGAACGGACGCCGAATGTCGCTCCAGGAATGAGGTAACACGGGGTGGTGACGTCTCATGGCGCGTCTACCAATCCGGTGGCGGAGATGTTGTGACGTCATATACCTGTTTTGCGCTGGAATAGGCTTAAAGTCTTGGAACAACGGCAGCTTGTGGCGTCATTCATGGGATTCACAGGATAGCTTGGCCGTTGGACGAGAGATCACATACGGAGAGGCTATTCCTTAGTTCCAAGTGCACATGCTCTGGTCCGTGCCTTCCTGCGGATGCGGGACCTCCGTGGCTGACGCACGTGCAGGCCCTGTCCCCAGGCTTCCGGCAGCATGTCTCCGGAATAGTCCGCGTGACTCAGCCGCGGACGATGTCTCGTGATTCACCGGCGTCGCGCCGAGCACGCCACCTCTCGGCGCGCCCGGCGCCTCTGCTGTCCGCACATGCGGTGATTGGGCGGCTATACACCGTGAACTCTTGAGATCAACAGCGTTGCCACCCCGGTTTGAAGCCAAGGCCAGTCAAAGTTACCCGCGCGGGAGTCAAGCCGACACCAGGCGGCTGCCATGGCCATCCTGCGGCGTCAATGCGGTCGTAACGGAGGCGCTACGAGGGGCGTTCGCAGCGCAAATATCGTGAGACATCGTCTGTGCTTGACACTTCCGTTGATGTGTGCGCCCATTGCTGTGAAGGTTTGCGCACCGTCGCAAAATTGCGGATTAATAGTCGTTAGGATCCAGAACGCTTATGTAGTGTGTACGGCCAGTATACCTGCGTGAGATGGCGGTTATCTACACTCGAGCACGCAGACAGGGCCTCTACGCGCGTAGTTCACGCCGTCTGATGAATCGCCCAATTGCGAAGATTGCTGCGCGCATTTTGACCGCCCTAGTCAGCTTCATTCTGGACTCCGTTCTTTGCTAACAACTAGAGGCCCGTTCAGTCCTTGAAGTAAACAAATATGACTTGCGACGTAGCCGCCTGACTTACCTAGGACGTCACTGTCGGCACCCATTGCCTGCTTGGCCGAGGAGCGAAGTTCGAGTGGTAGCTCGTGATTATTGACATAACAACACCCAGCGGCGGTGGGCGCGCTGTAGACGGCCCTGCGAGCGTTGGGCAAGTGGTAAGCGTTAGGCCGTGTGTGAATGACATGGTCGACAACGATGTTCTTGATCACATAACTTGCAACAATTAGTTGTGCTAATGAAAAACATGGCATGCGCACGGCAACGCCACGTGGGAGGGTGTGCTGTCGGTGCTAACGTGGGCGAGGGAACGGAGAGCGCGTTGACTTGTCCTCTAAAGTATGAGAGATGAGTGCGATATATAAGACTGTAAGATAGCAGCCATGTTGTTCAGGGGTGGGGTACAGTAAGCACTCGTCACGGGAGAACCGAAGACTGTAAGATAGCAGCCATGTTGTTCGGGGGTGGGGAACAGTAAGCACTCGTCACGGGAGAACCGAAGACTGTAAGATAGCTGCCATGTTGTTCGGGGTGGGGACAGTAAGCACTCGTCACGGGAGAACCGAAGACTGTAAGATAGCAGCCATGTTGTTCGGGGTGGGGAACAGTAAGCACTCGTCACGGGAGAACCGAAGACTGTAAGATAGCTGCCATGTTGTTCGGGGGGTGGGGACAGTAAGCACTCGTCACGGGAGAACCGAAGACTGTAAGATAGCTGCCATGTTGTTCAGGGGTGGGGTACAGTAAGCACTCGTCACGGGAGAACCGAAGACTGTAAGATAGCAGCCATGTTGTTCGGGGTGGGGAAGTAAGCACTCGTCACGGGAGAACCGAAGACTGTAAGATAGCAGCCATGTTGTTCGGGGGTGGGGAACAGTAAGCACTCGTCACGGGGAACCGAAGACTGTAAGATAGCAGCCATGTTGTTCGGGGTGGGGAACAGTAAGCACTCGTCATGGGAGAACCGAAGACTGTAAGATAGCAGCCATGTTGTTCGGGGGGTGGGGAAGTAAGCACTCGTCACGGGAGAACCGAAGACTGTAAGATAGCAGCCATGTTGTTCGGGGGTGGGGAACAGTAAGCACTCGTCACGGGAGAACCGAAGACTGTAAGATAGCAGCCATGTTGTTCAGGGGTGGGGAACAGTAAGCACTCGTCACGGGAGAACCGAAGACTGTAAGATAGCAGCCATGTTGTTCAGGGGTGGGGTACAGTAAGCACTCGTCACGGGAGAACCGAAGACTGTAAGATAGCAGCCATGTTGTTCGGGGGTGGGGAACAGTAAGCACTCGTCATGGGAGGACCGAACGTGCCGTCCATTTGGCTAAATAAATCACCAAAAAAGAAGGGGAGGGGCCCTCCTGCCGCGCCCATGTTGAAATTGCGCTACGTTTAACGGCTATAGATGAGACAGTATTAGTAGCCGTATTCCTCGTGGAATGTACGGGAGAATGGAGAGATAGATGTGATATTTCGGCAACATGCCTTTTTCGAAACCATATTCGTCTCGATAAAGGCATGTAGCCGAAAAATCTCATCTATCGCTCCATCCTTCTGTTTATTATGCGAGGAATAAGGCTATTAAAACTGTTCCATGTCTAAGCATAATGCTCCTCGCAAATGCACTTAACAGCTCAGGTTAAACGTGGTTTAAATGTTGAAAATGCATACTAAATCCCCTATTTTTTCAGGCAGGATTCAATATAAAACCGTCGGCAGCTAATTAGAAGAGCCTGGGCATGATCAGGTGGATACAAATGGGTTGAAACTTTTCATGCATTTCAATGTCAAGTGCCCTCTCTGTGTCGTTTCTTCTTATTCTATTGTCATGCTTACAATTTGTCATGAACGTCGTAACAGGTAAAACGTATGTCATAAAGCAATAAAATGTACGTTTAAAATTATTTTGCCATAACAAAACAGGAAAACGTAATTAAATCGTAAGATAAGCAGCTTGAATAATGGTGATCGCGTCAAACCCCCCTTATGTATAAGTAAGTGTATGTTTATATAACCTTACCCTTGTGCATTTTGTATGCGTGTTATGAAACCAGCACGCATGCGATAAAGTTTCAAAAAGGATGTCCATGCGGTGTTATTTAATGACGTGTTTTACCATTCATAAGGCTCAAGGTTGTAGATTGTGACCGGTGAGTGCTGCGCACCTAACATTTGTAACCTGCTTTCGCACTTAAAGTGGCGCGCACGTGCATAAAAACATGCGGTGTAATATCAAAATGGTAACAAACGCTACTTCTCCCGCGGGCGTTGCGTACATTGTTCTGGAGATAAAAAGTATATTTCCAATGATCTGATATGACCGCATAGATAACTTACAAGGGTGTGTAACACATCAAATCGATGAGTTTTGCGAAGGCTCTCCCCTGTCACCTATCGTTTGTCTTTAACATGCGTGATTCTCGTGATGGCATCGAGACCTTTCTGGTCACTGGAAAGCCAGGTGAAATATGTGGGTCAGCATGAAAAACGCTGGGTTATGGTTGTACCGACTCACACTATTTGTTATCACGTTACACTCACTACGAGATGGTAGGAAATGGCTTAACACGCGCTCAGGTCGGGGTCAAATTGACCCCTTCCGAAGGGTCTTCTTGGAATGGTTTCTGAACGGCGCGGCGCAGCCGTATACAACTGAATAGCGGATCGTTTGGTGTCAAAAATTTAGATGTACCTTGTGAGGTCACTGACCTACGGCAGGTTAAAGTTAGGCGATGGATTCAGCGAAGTCAAGTTCAAGGGGATCGTTTAACCTGGTATGTCAACGGAGTGTTAGACGAAGCAATACATCTCTGAGATACTTTCTTAGGCAACACAGCAATGAAATGAGCAAATTCCATTGACCTAGGGTCAGGTATGAAGGTCAGACAGAGGTCAAAACTCACCTGTTTCATTACTCTAGGGCTTGCCGAATGGGGAGGTGTCGGGTGCTCATTTTGAAGTGAATGACCCAGATCAGCATTTTGTTTTTAGAAATATGTTGCCAGGCGTGATCTTTGTCGCTTGTTCAACCACAAAACTCGAAACATTCTTGTATGATTTGGTCACCATGACCTTCAAAAGGTTAAACAAGGCCACTGACCCTAATTGAGCATGTGACCTCTTGCGTGGAACAGGTATTAAGCTTCTTGGGGCACTGTGGAGACCAGGCTGAAGTTTGACCCTGTTTGGCCTTATTTCACCCGAATGTCATGACCCAAGAACCTAAAAATTTGACCTAAGTGTGCTCACATACAGACCAATACACCACGTCAATTTAGTGTCTCTAGCTATTCTAGCTCTTGAAATATCGACGGGGTCCAAGTTGACCCCCATCTGAGCGAAGGGTATCCAACCGGCCACCTGGGCGCGTGTTACGACCCCATCTCGAGCATGCTAGCCGTTTTTTTGTAGGGATGGTTCGTGTGAGAGTACTCCTGAGAGGTTGGAAGTGTTCCACCGTTCCCCCTGCACCCGTAATCAGTCCGCCGCCGATGGATGCTAACGAGGTGGATTGCCGTGCCTTTCTTCGTGTGTTCTGGCGGCAGATAAACTGGGATGTTCGGTAGCATTCTTGCTGCTGTATCCACGGCAACGATGCCACTTGCGTGGGGGGCTCAGAGAACACGCAAGGGGCTCCGCTTGGCATATGCACTGAACCGAAAAC